TTGATCTGACCCGTGAGGATCTGGGTTGACAAGGACTGCCTCCGTGGTCGGCTCGGAGTCAGTATAATGTGTCTGAGTGGGGTATTCATGCTTCACTGCGGCATGGTATCTCAGTGGGCTAGCACTATAAAACAGCTTCAGTCTGGGCTAGTACAAGCAGCCGCGCATACACATACACACGCATGCACGTCGTCATATGAGCGAAATATTCTCAAGCACGACGTTAAACCCAATTTCACCTCACTTCACCTCACCGGGTTGACAAACGTGTCATTTTATCCTAGTTGCGCAGATCGATGCTCATGCTGTTGATCGCTGGATTGTCTGGTCCAGACTCGAAAATTTACAGCCGCCGGCATATAGCAGGAATATTATTTGAACAACAAACCAACCAACTTCGATTTTGGAAGATAGATGTTGATTAGTAGTTGTCGTAACTGACTTATTAAAGCAGGCTGCACTACACCGTTCGTTCCCATTTCCCGCACACATCGTTAGCCCATTGCCTAATCATTAAGTATCTGGATATACAGTATAGACATTGTTATCATTAACAGGTCCGACTTGCGGACTCACCTGGTGGATATACAGTATACTACTTATATTACGAACACGCTAATAACGAACTGACGGATATAACGGAGGTCCGACAGACTTGCGGACTTGGTTGATGCATGTCATTTTATCCCAGTTGCGTAGATCAATGCCCATGATGTCTGGCTCAGAGCCCATTATTTACAGACCGACGCCATATAGATGGAATATTGCGGCGTAAAACAGCAAACAAACGTTGGGTCTTTCTTCACCCCGGATTCTCGAGGACGGGTATCGCTGAAAAAATAACGATAGAAATTCTGGAATGTATCTCCTCAAGATTTGTAAGAGGTGACTGATCCGGCACTTGAAGTGAGACAGGCAAGGAAGCTCAAACACTCAACTCTCCGGGGAGATTTAGTGGATACCGGGACGGTGGGGTAGCCTCGTGGTTAAAGCGTTCGCTCGTCACGCCGAAGGTCCGGGTTTGATTCCCCACATAGGTACAATGTGTGAAGCCCATTTCTGGTGTGCCCCGAGGATATTGCTGGAATATTGCTATAATCGACATACAACATAACTCACTCACTAGTGTGAAACCCTATGCTTATGCCTGTGCTGAGGACTCGCTCATTACGTGTGTGTGTGTGTGGTGTGTGTGTGTCAGAGTGTGGCCCTAAAGAGAGAGAGAGAGAGAGAGAGAGAGGTGTGTGTGTGTGTGTGTGTGTGTGTGTGTGTGTGTGTGTGTGTGTGTGTGTGTGTGTGTGTGTGTGTGTGTGGGTGTGGGTGTGGGACCCAGGGCCTAAGACCTGGGCCTAGATTTTCGAAGCTCTCTTTTGCACTAAGATAGTCGTAAGTCCCATACATTAACATTAACTTACGACTATCTTAGCGCTAAGAGAGCTGCGAAAATCTAAGCCCTGGATCAGGCGGGGTTTTCTCTCACATGAAACTGACTCGCAGTTTTATAACCGGAATTATGTAACAGTAACTTAACATTGTCCCAGTTTAAGGCGTCGTTGACCCATTTCGTTGAGATTTCTGAATCTCATGTATCGTCACATTTCAATTGATACTGTTCAGTTGTTCGGTGTTGGGTTGGTCGAATACCCCATATCTGTACAATAGATGCTTTCTTGGTGTCACTCGCAGCGTAAAACCTCACTTTGTTTCTATACCTACACTGAGCTGCGACGTGTTTGAAGCGTAGCCTAGTGGTTAAAGCGTTTGATCGTCAAGCCTTGGACCCGGGTTCAATTCCTCACATGGGTACAATGTTCCCTGTTACATTGCAACAATATAGCTAAAAGCCGTTTAAAACCACATTAACTCTCACATTCACATAATGAATGAAAAAAGAGTCATCTTTAAAGAAACATTCTTTATTGAAATATTTACACAAATATAAAATGGTTCATATTCTCAGTATCAAAACTGATTTGTCAAACGAAACGACATTGAGTCCGTTGACACACTTCTCCGAGACGATGTTAAGATGAAGGTGGTTATATATACATGTCCATAGCACGAGGACTGGCCACAACGCAGAGAAAGGGATGTTTCCGTCATGAAATCGAAATTATTTCAAACAATTTGTTAACAACTTGAAATATACCTGATCGAATGTTTGAACACATGAAGTGGGTGAAACTGACTTGTTCAACAGGCAGGGATTGTTTTCAAATTTATTTAGAATCAATGATCGTGAGTGTGGCATGACAAGGTAAACCCATGTTTCATAATCCGAGTTATAATATTTTCACATTTCAAGCCTGTCAATACTGATCAGAAAAGAGGTTTCGTCCCTGCGTTGCAGCCCCTCCCCAACCCATTAACAGAGACACAGACAAGAACGCGTGTCCCCCATTTTGAAGATTATGGGGTCTAGTTTGTCTCAGTGCCCTCGCGGCAAACGGAGGGAAGGCTCTTCTCGTAGAAAGCCGACATGATGTCTCCTATTGTCTGGCTGCACCCTGTCAGTACCTCCACCTCGCACTGGGTACGTCTCTCGGCCAGGCTGGAACGTAAGAATGATCAATATAGGAACAATATGTGAACAACAAGCTGCTTTGTCAAATGTTACTTTGTCATGCAACGTGATGTGTACGTTCGGAACACACCTGACATCACATAGTGGAGTTACAGCTCAAAGAAATATCGACCCTATGGCGTCCTGGGTTTAAGACACGGGCCTCAGAGAAGACAGTTTATTATCAACAGTTCTTAATGTGTATTCTGTAATAGAGAAACCGATGTACACACATTTCGATACTTCTCGGTAAGGTGAGAAAGTTTAAGGGCAGGTCAGCAGGTGTCATTGTGGTTGGTCACTTTCGATATTATCTTGATGGAGATTCGTCCTGAATATCTGGGTTAGAATGGGCCTTCAACAGTCACTGCATGCCTTGAGAGACTAAATGGATCGGGAGGTCGCTGACTTAAATCCGAACATAGTATTCCAGCCGCAAGATCGGGAGGGTGTATGCTGACTTAAAGCCGAACATAATCGAGGTGACCGCCTCCGTGGTGTATTACAGTCCGCAAGCGGATGCGGGGTTCGTCCGACCGCGACCCGCATATGTTGGGTGTATGATTTTACAGTTAAGGACTGATCGGCTCGGAGTCGTATAAAAGTCTGAGTGGGGTATTCACAGCGGCATGGTATCTCAGTGTACATATAAATCGAGGTGGAGTCTGGGCTAGTACAAGCAGCCGCACATACAATGACAGAGCAGCGTCATATGAGCAGCGGCCCGATAAACCCAATTTCGGAAAACAATAATCGAGTCAACCCTAACCATGGCATGAACCTGACCATTCGGAAAATCCTGAAGGCCGTTCAGAGCAGCATGGGACACACGCCCCTGACCGATATTTAGTGTGAAAATTGGACAATACCAAAATCCCTATCACGGTAAAAGAGGTGTTGCGGGCGGCTAAAATAGTTTGACACATTGTTTTTTAAAAACGAATTTGTCATTGATTATGAGGAAACAAGACAATCATATGATTACGGGCAACTTGGAGCAATGTAAACTTACGCGCAGACGAGGGTTTTGGTGACACTGTTGGACAGTTGTCTTTCCTTGCTGCCGAAGCGGATGACGACGGAGAGGTAGCCGATGTATGTGTTGTACTGGGAGTAGCATGGCATCAGGCTGGTGGTGTTCATCAGGCAGGACAGGTCATCATCATCCTCGATAACTGAAGGAGAAACCGTCACATCTGTCTCTGTGCTGTGCTTAACGGTTACATGACGTCGAGTTTTATCATGACAGCGTTGTAAATGTGTGCCTTTTTTTCATAAAATCTGTTTTTATTTAAGATTGATGTGTGGTCATTCAGCATTACAAAAAAATCAAAAGATAATTATCATTAATGAAGAATATAGGTCAGTGATCGTTCATCTTACATTCACACATGGTATTAGTTCACTGGCAGTCTTTTCATGGTATGTCCGTTGATTTCAAATATTGTCATACGACTTTATGAAAAATAGTTTTATTGTGGACATGTGGAGAACATTTCCAAATACATGTATAACCTATTAGTGACCGACATTATGACCGATGCAATTCAGTGTTTTGTCCTGATTCATATGTTGCAGTGTGAGCAGCGGCCCATATACAATGAAAGTGAATAACATGACCATTGCCGTTCAGAGCAGCATGGGACTTGCCTTTGCATGCGTTTGTGACGGGTCAGAATATGCTTATTTTTAACATCTGGTATCGTCACGAACACATGAGTTGTACACACATGCTCATGATATGGTCAAATTTGCACATTGCACTTGTTCTAGCAGCTGCAAAACTGCTGATGAGGCATTAAGCAACGCTTACTCACTCACCTTTCTAGCAGAGTTTCTGTATGATTATGGAGAGGGTTCTATCACTTGTCTGTTTGTACATAAAATATCTACTTACGTGTGAGGTTGTCGCAAAGTCCGGCGTAGGCCTCGCTGACTGTTGACTTGTCGAACAAAGGACGGAAGACTGTGGAGATCTCGTTTTCGGAGGAGCTGAGGTTCTCGTCGATACACTTGACAAACTTGTCCTTGGCCCTAGACGAGAGAGTGATTGAGGTTTTACTCTGATTTTAATAATATATCAGAAATAGCGCGGTGGGGAATACGAGAAATGTGCTTTAGATATTGTATCCATTAGGGGAGTCGAACCATGTTTTTCGGCGTTACAAGTTCAGGCAACTTCGTAAGATCTCCCTGTGGGCATTTGTTGTTCTTTGAAAATAAATTTTGCATTTACTGTATTTTGTAGATAGAATAAGCCTCACGCTTAGGTTTAGGCAATTATTTCTATTCGCTCTCCGGGCGGACGCTCTAACCACTACACCACGCAGGCGGTTCATTCTACTGAGAGCATATTAACGTAAACATTACTGTGTGTTGATAGTTTTATGGTAAATGTTGTGGAATATGTATATGTAAATAAGGAACTTACTTGCAGATGGATTTGAAGGCCTTTTGGGTAAAGTTTTTCGAGACTGGCTCATCGGCTGGTGGAGCTTCGAACTCGGTATCGTTGGCGATCATTGAAAGACACCTGACCACGCCCCCACCCATGACGTCAACTTCTTCATCGCCATAGACCATGGACAGGAACACAACTGTGAGAATACAGAAACACACATTATAACTTGACTTTACATATTGATTAACAAATGTGTTAAGTTCAGCATTGAATTGAATATATTTTGCGTTGTACAGGTATTTACGTAAGACCGATGTGTATACATCTGCACTTTGGATTTACGCAGTGTGCAAAGTGACTTTCAAGTTTATAACTCCTTAAACACCCACTTCTTCCAGTCACTCCTTATAAATAGATACATCACCATAATAACGCCACATACAGCTTATTTAATTATTAACACAAACGTAAAGAGAGCAATACGTCATCATAATAACCCCACAATTGGATGTTAATCATTAACACAAAACATGTAGAGAACCATACGAAATCCGTGACATCGTTACAGCAACATTAACCACGCCCATTCTGTTATAGCCAGTTAGGAAACAATAGTCTGTTAGTGGGCGTGGCCTAATTATTTGTTTTCTATTAATGGCAAAACATTTTGTATGATTAAGCAATAGAATGCCATGAAAGCACCAGCAGTGTATTTATGTATAATTGAGCATGTCCGTTCATCTGAGGGTTTGAATAGTCGAGTCTGGAACAATGGTTCTGACACAGCTCCTGCTAAATTACATTGTTACTTCATCCCTATTGCTCTTTTCCCTCCAACATTTCCAAGATATCTTAACAAAAGACTAAGGAAAACTCAATTATTTATAAGATATATGTAGATGTCGCTGATTTCACTCATAATTGTTATATTGATGTATAGTTAACTCAACTAATCTGTTTTAGATAAATAGAAAAAGAAGTGTAAATGATTGCGACAAGGACAACTGTCATTGTCAAAGGACGAATTTGTCATTTTCAAAAATGAAACTGGTAATGTGAACATTTCTTTCTTTTGAGTGTAAAAGTTTTGTTTGTAACAGTTTGCTTGAATTATTAGAAAAAATAACGAACTAAATATAAGGGTTTATTTATTGACCTTAAAATAAAACTCCCTTGGATCTCAATAATAGCAAAACGTGTACTAAGTAACAATTTGTAGTATACTCTAGTTTAAGTCGTACAATTTTTTGTCTTTTGAACACTCACCAGCCAGCAGTCCTATGATAGTCTTCATGATGATTTGGTGTAAGTAATATCCGAAAGCCTTGTTCGAATGGTATTGCAATAGCGGAAACTCAACTCGAAATGACACTGTGTGTTTTTGCCCGCTTTTTATAACTTCCAAACTGCGAACGGCACAAGGTGTCCCAAGTCGGAAGTTAGCGCTGGTTGGTCGTGTCGGTAGCGTGGGGATGTCACCCCCCTCTAATCTCACTGAACCTGCTAAGCTTCCTTACCACTGCCCGTGGATATTCTTACACACGTGAACCGTTGTCATTACCTGTTTGTGACATAAACTTCTTGGTGATTTCTTCAAGTTCTTCTGAATTTTCAAATTTGCTTCTTGCTTAATTGTCTGGAAGATAATCCACGCTTAAACTGTGTGGAAAATATGTTTTAAAAATATCGACGTGAGTCCACTTAGAGGCAGCTGAACAAATTTAAATCGGGTTCTAATTTGTGGAAAAATGTCTTCCTATATTTTTTCGTGTTTTAAAAATGTGTTTCAGATGTATTTTATTGTTTGCGAATAATTCCTTGTTTGTACTGACGTTTCCTATTCAAATGTATTCCTATGATGCAAATAAGTTTGACGGAAAGAAAATCACGTTCAAACATCGCGGCGACGTGATTTTGTGGCACGTGACCCAAGTATCACGGTCAGACTGGCTTCTCTCACGTCCGCGCGTCTCGCACCTGTTTATCAAATGTGACATAGTGACCTCGGCTTAACTCTTCACTCCGTTACGATTGCAACCTCAGCACATGTAGAGAGACTGTGTTTCTTGTTGAGACCCTCAGTGCTAAATTCCCTATGTTTGTTACATTTGATGATTCATCAGTTCCTCACTTTCTTCGAAGTAAGTGTAAGAAATTATTTCCCATGGCATAGCGATTATTTTGAATTCCTTACTCATTATATTTTGTTCAATATCGGAATTAGTTTTGATTAAAGTGTATTTTATTAACGTTTATCTGTTCTGTCCGCTACATCAAACAGGAAGAAACAAGAAAACTAGTTGAAGTTTATATTATCAAATTCTAGCGAATGTGTTTTGAAACTCAGTTCACCCATAACTGGAATCAGGAAATCTCCAGAAATGACTATGGCATGTTAATATACAAATTCCAACATACTGACCTGTGTATGTGTAATGCCCACATTTTCGATCAAAATGAAAGTAAAAGTGTCAAATTGTCATTCCCTTTCTCCACATTTGCAACATGTGTGAAGGCCATTTCTGGTGTCCCCCGCCGTGATATTTCTGGAATATTGCTAAAAGCGGGTAAAACTTAACTCACTCACTCATTCACTTTCAATCTGATGTATGTCAGTAAAGGGAATTGAAACCAACCAGTCATTTAGCTGTAACTGGTACAAGACACACACAAATTGCATGGCAAAATTTGCATATTTAATATTCTTTGATCTTTTAATGCATGCAAAAGATTACAGTTTGAAGTTTAGTTTTAAAGCAGAAGAATCTTACTGGTGCAGTTAAGTAAAACAGTTTCAGAAGGCTTTGGGAAAAAACCAAACACGTCTACATTTCCTGGTGTTTAAAACTAAAAAATAACAGAAATACAAGTCAAGGTTAATCTTAGTGTTGCGTCCTGTTTGACAAGGGTGTGTTGGTGGATGCTAAACGTGTCAGTTTTCTGCAACGTTTATGCTTTTTTACAAAAATATGATTACTCTTTCTTGATTGACAGGAATAGCTGAATGGCCCCACTAACACGAGAAGTATAATTCATTCTTAAACATTTATGAACGGTACAGTTACATCACCTTGCCACAAACACACCACATAAAATTGTAAGCACGTTTACATCAGCGGAAATGGTCATACTTTAACAATCATCAGTAGATATAATACATTATCATAAAGTTGTTATACTGTATTGTAAGTGGTGTCTTTATGATATGAAATATGCATAATGGCCGAAGCTGAGATCTACAGAAACTGTTTTCGCGATTAATTTTAATTGAAAATTTGGGAATATGTTTCTGATGACTATATCTTTCACCCAGCAAATTATTGCAATTCACTCGTATTCTCCTTAAGAGAGTTTGGTTTAATGCTGTTGTGAACAGTAGGACAGTTACACCAGAGTGTCAGTTAGACCTTGGGGATAAGCCAAGTGATGTGGGTCATAGTTTAGCAATTTAAATATCAGGGTGTTAGGATAAGACTACAAATGAAAGTATTGATCTCTACATATGAACAGCAAGGAAATAGTTTGTACAGAGTTGGGGTTGATTTCAGTCCAACCGCATGTAAATAGAAGGAAACCCTTTCTGCATTGTAAGAAATCTCTGCTAAAAGCAGAGTGGATTGTACAATTCTGACAATATCACCAGTATGTGTTTGAAAGTTCAAAGTCACAATGAGCAATATTACAGGTGTATGATGACCTCTGTAAAGTGTCTGGACCAGACAAACCAGTGATTGACATGACCTCTGATGACAGCATTTGTTTATGAATCTCTATGAAATAGTGATGATACCAGGTGTTTGTGTAAAGATGAGTGTATCCTTCCCCACTGGTGGCAACTGTCCTGAACATCTGTCAATGCTAGTCAATTGTACACCTGAAACAAATTGGGAATGTACCATATAAGTTTTATTACTGATGCCTCACATTTTGAAATGTCCAGCACAAGTAAATGCATTCCTAATGGAAAACAGACAACACAAAAACAAGTATTACTAAGGGTAGAATTGTTTGTGTTGATTATAACTTTCTGGCATTTGCACAACTTCCTCTGCTTCTAAATATTTAGTTCAGAGAACAATGTAGTATTGTCTACATGTCTCAAGATTAAATCATTGTCATAGGTAGGTATTTCCCAAAACAATACATTGAAGATTAGTTAACTTGAAAATGTAAAACAAGTGTGTAGACAGAAAGTTACTTTTCAAGCCAAGACTCAAGTTTCTTGTAATATGACATTTCAAATCATGTCTGCATAATGTGTGGAGTTAATAGTCGTTGAACCTTGATGATCACTTGATTGTCTGTTTTTTTGACAGGCTGCAGTCTTATGGCAGGAGTATTGCTGTGTGGAATGATTTTGTAAAGAGATCCCCCACCGCGCCATACCAAAAGATGTTAACATATGGTACTTGTTGGTCCCTGCCTGGCGCTCGGCATTAATGGGTACGACAAGGACTGGTCGGCTCGGAGTCAGTATAATGTATCTGAGTGGGGTATTCATGCTTCACTGCGGCATGGTATCTCAGTGGGCTAGCACTAATAAAACCAGCTTCAGTCTGGGCTAGTACAAGCAGCCACACTTACACATACACATGCATGCACGTCGTCATATGAGCGAATAATCTCAAGCATGACGTTAAACCCAATTTCACCTCACCTCACCTGTAAAGAGTTATTTTTGGGGTCAAACTCTGTGAATACCTGGTGCTTAAGGAAAGAAAAGAAGTGCCCATGAGGTCATAAGATAGAGCTGAAGGCAGTACTCATAAAGACAGCATCAAGACACACAATCCCATCTATGGACACACAGTATGTAGTCACAGTTAGCACTTAATTACATTGTTGAATATTCATTTTGATTCAAACTATGCATTTGCGAATGCTGGAGGTTTATCTGCCCAGATGAGCAGGTTTCATTCTAATATTCTGCAGTTCAGTTTCATCTTGACACACTGGCCCTGCCTGGCTCAGTTCTTCTTGGCCTGGGTCTAAGGCAGTCCCACATGACATGCTTACCCTTTTTGCGAGCACCTAGTTTTCTGCAGACCATTTGTATAATTTTCACAACCATTTTTCCTTTTAGACCAAATGTAATCTGTTTCTGAGGATAGTCAAAACTGGGAATTCTTTTGCCCTGCTTTTTCATATATATATATGCAATATTAAAGGAAGATCCCCTCAGGAAGTCCTCATCCATT